CCCCCCCCATTTTTATAGCACTCTGAAAATGCCCATCCATCCTCTTTTTAAAGATCTCCAAGATCACCCTCCGAATCCCTTTGGTTCATGTTCTAGTCTCGAGTAGGAGAAAACAAGCTGGATCAACTTCTACGTGACATCCTTTCAGATATTTAAAGATGGCTTTTACATCACCTCTCCATCTTCTCCAAGCTAAACATACCCAGCACTTACTCAGGGGTAGCTGTATTGGGCATATAGCAAAGTATAGTATCATCCAAAATCCACAAAACAGGGATACCTTTATTGGATCAACTAAAATATACATTATACATGTTGCAAGCTTTCAAAGCTCCATTGGCTTCTTCATCAGGCAAAGGCATTAAAAATGATACAGAAGAAAGAAAGAAAGAAAGAAAGAAAGAAAGAAAGAAAGATGGAAGGGAAGGGAAGGGAAGGGAAGGGAAGGGAAGGGAAGGGAAGGGAAGAAGGAAAGGAAGACAAACCACGTTTTTCATAGCCTTCATTTGGTCAGGATGTTGCAGTTGTACCCAGCATTGTAATTCATTCCCCATAAGGAAACTTGAAGTGATAATGATTTTAGAGTGACTTAAATTTTCATGATTTTTTTTAAAGAAAGACATTAAAAGGGATCTTTATCGTTGAAATCTTTGGTTCTGACACTGGGACTGGACCTGGCACAGCCAGGAAGTCTGCGGAGGGAGAGGTTTAGTGAGCTGAGCCCAAACTGTCTGGTCCTGAAGGCTGGCACTAGTGGGCACCAATGCACTGCCTCTGCCTCTGCCTCTTCCTGGAGACTCAGTAAGGGAGGTGGCATCCTTCTGTCAAGCCCACACCAGCTTGGTAGGGTTGGGGAATGAGTGTCTTCTTAAGGTCAATGAGCAGAAGAGGAAAAGTGGCTGAGGCTGGGGGAGAGAGAGAGAAACATTGGCAGGGAAGAACAGCTGGGATTGCAAAGAGGAGGAGGGGAAAGAAATGGATGATACTACGCCAAGAAGGGGAAAAGCCACCTTCCCCGACTAAGCCTGGATCCTGCTAAAGTATGGCTCTAATGCAAGAGCCAGCATGGCGCAATGGTCTGAGCATTGGACTATGACTCTGGAGACCAGGGTTTGAATCTTGGCTCGACCATGAAATCCAGTGGGCATCCTTAGGCAAATCACACTCTCTCTGCCTCCAAAGATAACAATAGCAAACCATCTTTGAAGAAACTTGTCAAGAAAACCCCATGACGGGTTCACCTTAGGGCCACCATAAGTTGGAAATGACTTGAAGGCACACAACAACAACAACAACAACGCAAGGGGAATTGGCCGGGTTCTAGTCTCTCCGATCTCTGCCAGCCTTGTTCTCACAAAAGTGGTTCTTATCAAAATACAGTTACGGATGTGTAACCGTTCGTAACTTCCATATCTACAATCCTTACATAATCATGTTCGTGGCATTCCCAAACCTTATTTCCTGGGTAGGAGCTGCTCTGGGAGAAGAAGGTCCATTCTGCTGGTGATCAGGATGTGGACAGATGATATGTCCACCCCATTCCACCCGCAAGCAAGGCTGTAGCAACCCGAAGGAGGACCTCCTTGCAATTTCTCATTCGAGTCTCACTCACTGATGGGACAGGCATGGAAACGTCATCCGCTCATGCCTGATCACCATCCGAACAGGACTCCATATCTTGGAACAGCTGCTGTCTGGTAAAATAGGTTTGGGAGGTCAGGCCAGGATATGCTACTTAGTTAAGTGTACTTAACAGATGTAGAATTCTGCCAGTGCTTATAACTTACTGCCCAGCGACTGGAATAAAAAGGAAGCATCTGTATTCTGAGAATATTGGTCTGTCTAGGACCATACCTGGAATCCTGTGTCCAGTTCTGGGCAACACAATTCAAGAGGGATATTGACAAGCTGGAGCATGTCCAAAGGAGGGTGGCCAAAATGGTGGAAGGTCTGGAAACCATGAAGCCTTATGAGGAGCGACTTAGGGATCTGGGTAATGTTTAGCTTGGAGAAGAGAGGTTTAAGGGATGACAAGATAGCCCTGTTTCATTATTTGAAGGGAGGTCATATTGAGGATGGAGGAGCTTGTGTTCTGCTGCTCCAGAGATGAGGATACAATGGAGCAGTGGATGCAAGCTAAAGGGAAAGAGGTTTCACCGAAACATTAGGAAGACCATCCTGATGGGAAGGAACTGTTTGACAGTGGAAGATGCTGCCTTGGAGAATGGTGGCCTTCTCCATGCCTTTGGAGGTATTTAAACAGAGGCTGGATGCCCATCTGTCACTGGGAGGCTTTGATGGTGTCTCCTTGCAACAGTTTGCTTTTGCCTGAATCAACTGGGAAAGGCAAGATTCTGCCCCTCCTCTCCTCTCTCCTATGCTGAGTTAACTGAGTGCAAATGACATTTACTCTTTTAATTTACAGTCAGCCCTCCTTATCCACTGATTCTTTAACCATGGATTCAAGCATCCATGGCTTGAAAATGTTCAAAAAATATATAAATTCCAAAAAGCAAGCCTTGATTTCACCATTTTATCTAAGGGAAACCATTTTGCTATCCCATTGTATATAATGGGACTTGAACATCCACGGATTTTGGTATCCACAGTGCGGCGGGGTGGGGGGAATCCTGGAACCAAAATCCAGCAGATACCAAGGACCCACTGTAGTTTGCAGCATAAGCCAAGGATAAAGAGGGGAAGTGGGAGAGTATGAAAGAAACTGGAAGATTTTATTCATGTTGAACCAGGACAGTTAGAAAGTATGCTAGATATCAACAGTTTTTTCTGTCTCACCCTCTGCAAGGCTAGAAATTGGAGGGCTGAAGGAGAGTTTAATGGGGGGCAGAGTTCCTATTTGGGGGGCAATGCTCTCATTTGCCCTTCTATAGCTATACCCCTGGCTCCATACATTCTGCATTGTAGGCCCATACATGCCAGCTGCGGTTGGATCTAAGCGCCCTGGATCTATCGTTGCTCGGTGCCTCTCCATCCCAGACGGACTTGTCAACCCACCCTGCGCTTGATCCAACATGTCAGTCTCATGATGGCGGCAAAGCCCACAGGCGCTCCGAGGCCTCGGCTGCCAGTTTCTGTCCAAGGATCTTCCTTCCCCCTCTTGCTCCGGGCACCGCTTCTCCAGATGAGAGCTTCTGAATTTGTAATTAAAAGCTTTTATCGGAATCCCTGGTAACAGGCCAGGCTTGGCGAGGAGATGGGGGCGGTGGAGGGAGATGCGCCTGGTCTCTGCTGCGAGGGGAGTGAGTCAACCGGTTCTTCAGCATCTCTTGAACACAGTCCCCGCATGCTGGGATTTGCAGCAGAAGGCCTGGCTGTGGGAATTCCCAGGGGGGAAAAAAGTTCTTTGACAGGCAGCTTGGGAGCGGGATGCTTATCACCTATACAGAACAGGAGCTGGATATTAACCGGCAAAAACAAAGTGTCTCACACACACTTCTGTGGGTTCCATCTCCATAAATCCTTACCCTCTCTGAGGTGTCACCCAGTATGGTCCGCACCCCTCGCACTTCCAAGTGACGGCCCTGGTAAGGCAAGGCCAGCACACTTTGGACTGTATTGATAGTCCATTGGGACTATAGCAATGGCAAACCCCCTCTGAATCGTGCCAAGAAAACCCCATGATAGGTTCACATTAGGATTACCATAAGACGGAAACAGCTTGAAGGCACATAACAACAATAACAACCATCAGCTAGATGTAGTGGAGTCAGTGGGGCTGAGCCTTCCTACCCTCACACCACCAGCTCCAACAGGCATTGATGCCACTAGCAAGGGTCCTTTCCCTTTCTACATGTGGTTGCCCTGCCCAAGAAAATATGATGACTATCATCATCCCCGTCATCGTTGGGATAGTTGTATGGGAGGCTGTCAATAAACATTTGGAGCAGAAGGAGAGCAACCCACTCTGCTTTGATTCACCTTAGATGTGCCAGGCTACACCAGTCCTCTCCTGATGCTCCCAGGACACATTCATTCATAAATCACCCGCCTTATGTTGCCTCCTTCTTGTAAATGAAAAATCCTGCCCATATGGCACTGGTGGGAGTTGAGCAGCCCATGGGTCTCCATCAGTCCTTGAGACCTCCCAACCACCTTGATCATCCAAAATGTTGGATCGCCATCCAAAATTGTGATTTAATATGCCAAAACATACTGCTTTCAGATTGTGTGTTGAGCAGCTTCTCAGGGATGGATGAACAGATATATTGGTTGCTTTCCTTTCCTCTTCTCATCTCTTCTTTAGTGTTTCATCTCTGTGTTGTTTTAATTGCTTTTTATTTGCTCATTGCCTCACAAGCCCTTGTGGGCTAGGATGTGATACAAGAAATACTTTAAATTAATAAATAAGCTCTTCACTAGGGTTCAGACATGCAAGT